CGTTGCCGGCATCATCCTGCACTGCTCAGTATTAATAATTGGGGCAGTGCTGCCGCTGACCCCCGTGAATGTCTTGGAGCGCTGGCAGGGAGGAGGAGGGGGCGGCACGTGGCTGAGGGGAGGATGGTTCGCTTTTTGTATGGGAATAAAATGAAATGAAATTAAACAAAATAATAAAATAAAATGAAGTAAAATAGACTAAAATAGAACAGACTAAAATAAATAAATAAAAAATAAATAGATAAAAATTAAAAAACAAAATAAAATAACATAAAGTAAAATAACACAATAAAGCAAAACAAGGGGGAGGTGCAAAACCCCCAGGGGTGGGTTAAGGGAGAGCACCGAGGCTCCTAGTCAAGCGCAGTGTCGAGGAGCAGCGAAATTTGGGGTTCTGCCACGAGCTGTATGCTGAATTGTTGTTGCATTTTTTTTTTCCCCCTTTTGCATGCAAAAAAAATATGCAGTCTCCTCTGTTTCCGGCCTTCCTGTGGCCACGACAGGCAGGTGAAGGGAACGGCCACCACAGGGGTTTGCAGGTGGAGGTAGTGGCATGAAAATTGAGAGCTAGAGCCTATCCTTGCTATGAAATTGGGGGGGGGGGGGGGAAACCTCAGATGGATATCCAGGATGCAGGGGGAAACAGGAGGATTTTCCCCACTGTGGGCGTTACGGAGGTGGAAAATCACACCCCCCCGGCACAAGGAAGAGTTTTGGGGTTGAAAAAAAATCTGATTTTGCTGAATATGGTTTTGCCAAACCCCCTTTTTTTTTTTTTCCCAGGGAATCCTCCAAATAAAAGGGCTGAACCAGCCCTGACATTTTCCTGCAGGAGAGAGGTCGTTCGCAGCCACTAATAAAAAGGATTCGACACAGGCTAATAAAGAGAAATGAATTCCTCTAATGGCCTAATTTCGCACCTTCAGCAGGGCTCTGCCCGCGAGCCGGCAGCACCGTGGGCACATCACAACATGCATTTTTTTTTTTTTTTTTTTTCACCCAGCTCCAATATACGCCTTTCCTCCCTCCAAAGAAAAAAAAACAGAAAATAAAATTAATGCAAAGAAATCCGTCCGTTTCCCACTTGGAAAAATCCAGTTTGCGGTGCTGGGGTGGTTTAGGCATCGGTTCCCGTGGGAGCATCATCTTTACCGGTCCAAAATCTGTCAGGAAGTCCCAGCCCCACTGTTGCATAAAGCGAATAAAATACTTCAGGTGGGAAAAAAATTGCAGCAGAGAAGTGATGCTGCTGGACCAGCCCCTGCGAAGATGCTCCCACGCCAAGCAGGGAGGGGGAGGATTAATTTTTTTCCCTTTTTTTCTATTTTTTTAATGGGTGATAAACCTCCCACTAGAGCGTAAAACCCGGCGGGGTGACTTGTCCAGTGCTTTTTATATTTCCCGTCGCATTTTCCCGGCGATTTCCCTCCAGGTTGATCAACCAACACTTACAGCCGATGCCTTCTGCCTTGGTGCAATTATTGAAAATTAACAAAAATCCAGCGTTTTGGGTGGAGGGTACAGCCCTGGGAGGGCTAAACCCCCCTCCCCGTGTGCATTCGATAGCTAATGACAGATACACAATCCATATTAACCACCGTGTAGGTGAATATTCAGATTTTGCATGCAGCAGAAAAGGGCTCGTTGGGTGTGTTTTTAGAGATAAAAATATATTTGGGGGTAGTTTTGGCTGGTACCCAAAAATAAGCATCCAGGTTTGGGCAACTGAGTCCACGCGTGGGACCAGCCAACAGTTTTTCCCCCACTTTCCTGGGTGGGAAATACCTTCAAAAAGGTACTTCTGGCATCTTTTTGACCTTCAAATGAAGGCTGTAAAAACTCCAGAGGGTTTTTTTGCTTTTTTGTTATCCCACCAATGCTGCAAAAATCCACGCAGAAGTACAGAGCAAAGGTGGGGTTTTTTTTCTTGAATGACCTCTTTTGCCTTGAGAAAATTATTTCCATCATTGGAAAAAATCTTGAGACCCGCTTCGAATAATCCTTTACGTTTTCCTGGAAAACCAGTGGGTTTATTCCATGCCTTCATCCGCCTTTCCACGCCTTTCGGACTCGTAATATCTGAATATTTGGAGTCAAAATATTTTAATTCCTTCACTTCCGAGGTGCAATTTTTTGGTTTCCAAGCCCCCACGGCCCTGGCCATTAACGGGGGGTTAATCCTTAGTCTTAAACCTTAATCCTAATTATATTACAATCTTATACACTACTGTTACATCATTACTGTATACATTGTAATATTGTAAATAATTACATATCACTTACATAATTATATATTTCTTCTATAATTATACTATTTAGATAATTATAGTGTTACTTACTCCAATTATACAATAATATTACTGCATATATTACAATATTATATATTATCTCCAAAGAGACAAAAAAGGGGACCGAAGGGACTTATCCATCCCGCGCCCGTTGCTGCTCGCACCCCGTATGGGACGCATGAACTGCACATTTCAGGTTAATACGTGACTTTACTCCTTCTGGGTGCTTTTTTGGCTCAAAATCGCATGGTTTTGCTAAAATAAAAAAAGGCTTTCTTGGGGGGGTGAAGGTTTTGCGGGGGGGGGGGGGGGGGGTGGGGTGGGGGGGGGGGGGGTGTGTGTGTGCTGCAAAACCAGGTCCACAAAGGAGCTCCGCCCCCATGCACTGTTATTGATAGTTATTATTGCTAAAGAGGAGCTAATTGCTAATCCCCCCATTCCTGTGTGTTAATTAATGCATTTGAGTAATAGCGGATTAATAAAGCATTTTAATAATGAATGCATCAACGAATCGATGCATTAACCAATGCATTAATTAATGCATCGCCGAACCGATGCTTTAATAACGCATTAATGAAATAATGCATTAATTGATGCATTAATTAATTAATGCACACTGATGTTGGCTTGCATCACCTGTAGACAGCTCGCTTGTCGGCCTCCAGCTGCGCCTGGGGGTGCCTTGGTGGGCTGCTGGGCCGTGGCTGTCATCTGGGAGGGGGGGGATAAAGAAGAGGAAAAAAGGAAGAAAAGAAAACAAAAACAGGGTTTATTGCACTTTTCCACCGAGTTTTGCAGCCTTCTGCACTGACTTGTTAAAATTTAGGAGGAGGCAGCCCCATGATGGGGGCTCTGAGCAGGACGGTTTGGGGCGGGGGTGAAAACGTATTTGCATTTCACCTAACCCTGGGAAGAGCAGGATTGGGTTTTTCCCACTTTTCCCACTTTTTACCCGGGGAAAATACAGGAAAAAATCCCGACATCCTTATTGCACCACCAGCAAAGCAAAGGCGGGGGGTAATTTATTAAGGGAGGCTTTGCAGAAGTCCTAGATTAAATCAGCGGCAACGCTCGTCTCCTGCTTGCCGCGATTTTTTTTCAAAGCAGGTATTATTGTCTAGACACACAGGCACTTCTAAACTTCCTTCCAAAATTACGTGAGCCTCTTCCAACTCGCCAAGCCCAGGCATGAATCATTTTTGCACTGGGAGAAGCCAGCCAAAAAAAACCAAACAAACAAAAAAAATCAGCCTTTGGTTTTTTTTTTTTTCACCCGTGCCCAAATCACCCATCTTTAGCCCCGATGCTGTCCCGGATCGCCGACGCAATGGGAATCGCAACGCGCCGGGGCTGGAAATCTACAGGCAAAATTATGTCTGCTATGTGATAACTCATTCTGCTCACTAACGTTTTGCTTTTTTAAAAACTGCAATTATTTTAGTTAAATATATGTATTTAAGATTTGAGATGCGTGTGGGCCAGCGCACGTGCAAATCACTGCGCAGCCTGCCAGCATCACCCCCAAAACTGCCACCCCCACGTGTACAGGATTGCACGTATTTAGGGGCACTTTCCACTTAAAATTAACAATTGCATTAAAGAAATCTGAATTATTTGCTGCCGGGCTGCAGACGGGTCCAATGTACGCCACACGATGCATCGCTTCATCTTCTCAAGATTCGGTTAAAAAAAAAAAAAATTCAGAGAGAATTTTAAACCGATTTGGGTGCAAATGCATCAGCAAACACCCCCCCCAAATCCGGTGGTTTTTAGCTCAAAATCTCAGTGGAAAATTAACGCAAAGTGGGTGTTTCGCCTGCTTCGGTGTTGAAATGTTGTAAAAAAATTAGCATTTGCCTGTTTTCACCAGTAAATCTTCAATCCTCCCTTGAGCTGGGTAGCAAAAGGAAGTCTCTGCCTCTTGCTAATTATATATATAATTTATTTATTTGTCTAATATATAATATATATATTCATTTCTGTGTTTAGTTATATATAAATAAAATAGCTATATATATTATTTATTTGTCTAATATACATTTCTGTATTTATATAGAAATATTTTTATATTATTTGTCTAATATACTTCTATATTTATTTCTGTGGTTATTTATGTATAAATAAAATGTTTTCATACACACACACACACACATATATATAAATACATATGTGTATGCCCACAGCCTTCTCCAGCCAAACTCACCCTTATACTCAGGTTCTTGGCATGAAAAAAGCAGATTTCTCGCCTCCCTTAAAAGCTGCGTAAACCCATGCTGGGCCAAAACCGCGGCCCCTTTTGCTTTTAAAATGTTTGACTTTAATATCTCCTGCCTGACATTTTGCTGCCGATACAGCGCCTTTTTTTTTTTTTTTTTTTTAATCTCCTTTATTGTTCATAACTCCAAAGTTTGGCTCCTGCACCTGTAAATTCACCCGGCACTGTTTAATTTCTAATTAATTTAATTTTCTCTCCCAACCCAGAATTTGATTTCCATCACTCTTCTCTTCCACGGTGCTAAAAAAAATTAGCGAAAATTTGGGGTTCGCTTCCCGTTCCTATCCCAGCAGTTTGGATTTCTCTTCTCCCCCCCACATTTTCTATCTAAAACCAAAATGCAAGCAGATTTTGGGAGGCTCCAGCCATGCCACTGACTATCTCCCCATCCTCTTTCTCTTTTTCCCTTTTTTTCTCCCTATTATGTCCCTTGAAAATTACTTTGGGGGGGGGAACGTGGTGAGCCCCCCCCCCCTTTTTTCCATTTTTCTCCCCTCGCTGCACTCATTTACCAGGATGCCGAAGCCCTTTTCGCATCCTGCCCCGAAATCCTGCCAAGTTGGCTGTTTCCAGCCAAGTCTGCAACTAATTGGGCTATTACCCAAAAAAAAGCCTCCTCTGCGGCTGTTTCGAAGCCATTACCTCACCTTGGACTAAAGAAAATAATAAAAAATAAATAAAAATAATCCCAAGCCGGCGGAAAAAGAGGCGAGAAGATGCTCGGGTGAGAGTATTTGCACCCCGATGGGGATGCTGGGCAGGGAGGAAGGCAAAAATGCAGCCAAAAATGGCTTTATGGGGCGCAGGTGGGGATGGGAAAGGGGGAAAGAGGCAGCAGGTTTCTGGCTCAGGAGCATGAGCGCCTCGGCAGCGGGAAAAGGGGGGAAAACGGTCTGGATTTGGGCATGAAAGTTGCAGGCGTTGGAAAAAAATGCAGGGGGGGATTTTTTTAAACATTTTTTTTTCCCCCCAGAAAATGGCCAAAAATAGTTGCAGGAGGGGAAAAAAAAATCTAAAAAGAAAAAGAAAAAAAAAAAAGGTAAAAAAAAGTACAAAAAAATTATGTTAAAAATGTTTTTTAAAAGTTTAAAAAGTAAAAAAGGTTAAAAAATATGTAAAATTATTATGTAAAATTATGTAAAAATGTAAAAATGTCAAAAAATATGTTAAAAATATGTTTTAAAGTATGTCAAAAATGAAAAAAAATTTAAAATTGAAAAAAGTTTTTTAAAAGTTGAAAAAAATTAAAAAAAAAAAAAGTAAAAAAATCCCCATGTTTTTGCAAGACTCCCGGTTAAAGCAGAGATTTTTGAGGTGCCGCTTGCTCGACGATTATATTCCTTTTTATATTATATTTCTGGTTTTTTTCATTTCTTTGGGAAGGAAAATCCTTTGCCGGAGTTAGCGGCTGCTCACCAGGCAATGTGGGGGCTTCCCGCAGGTTTAAATGTGATAATCCCTCTTGCTTTAGGGTTTTTTTGAAGGCCATGGCCAAATATGTCAACTCTAGAGAGCAACCACAGTGAAGGTCTTCAGGGCAAGAAAATCTCCTAAATCAGCAATATTTACCCTATTCCTTAGTGTTTCCCAGTGAAATTTCTTGCTGCCATTACACGTGCTGAAAACAGTGGTTCTGAGCCCAAAAACGTGCTGAGGACATCAGGAGTTGGCGGGTTTCATTGATCCTGCTTAAAAATCAACATCTCCACCCAATTTTTAATCTGAGACTTTTTAAAAGAATATTTTTATAATTAAAAAAAAATCTATATTTTTATAGTTTTCCAATTTTGTCCCTGATGTAACCACTTAAAAAGCACTTTTTGGGGGGCAAAGCTGCTTTTATCGCTTTCTGTGCTGAAAATGCTGAAAAATCAACATCTCCACCCAATTTTTAATAATTTTTAAAAATATATTTATATAATAAGTAAATAAATAGATAAAATTTTGTATTTTTTTATTTTTCCATTTTTGTCCCTCATGTAACCATCTAAAAAACACTTGGGGGGGGGGGGGGGCGACAGCGCTTTTTCGCTTTTTTGTTTAACTTTGACGATGAAATGGCTGAAGACTTTCCCTTGGCTTTTTCTCTAAATTTATTATGGAAAACATATGGACTTTTATGCAGACTCTAATTTTCAACAGGTAATGTTGCTCAGCGAGCGCGATCACGCTCGGTACAAATGATGCTCCGTATTACACCCCTTTAGCAGAACCAGGTGATTATTAAAGCTTTTTTTTTTCCTCCAAAAGGCAGCTTTTCCAATCATTTCTGCTTCATTTTTGCACATTTCTGACAGTAAGGGTGATCGCTTGCACAGCCTCTGCAGTAAAATATTAATGCAGAGCTCCCCCAAACCCCTTTTTAGCACTTTTCTCCCCAAAATGGTCCCCTTGACGATGAGAAGCTGGTTGTACCTCTAATAATTGATTTTTTTTTTATTTATCACTGACCCTCCCCATCTCTTCCCTGTCTTTGGGGAGAGGAATTTGCTTTTCCAAACCTTAAAAATCCCAATTTTCAGGTGAAAAGCTCACAGCAGTCACAGCGTTGAGTCAAAATAAAGCAACTCTTGGCTGCAGCTTTTCCTCCAAACCCACTAAACGGAAGGAAAAATGCTTGAGCAACCCCCTCGATAGGGACAAAAAGGAGGGTTTTGGTCAACGATGCCCCTGAGGGTTCCCAAAATTCAATGTATTAAAATGGGGGGCAGATAAGGGACAGGGATGGGGAAGGTAGGGGGGACGTCTCCGTAGGATGCTGCGGAAAATCTCAGCTATTTTAAAAGTCCCTTAAATTGCCCATTAGGACTAAAACGGCGTCGCGGCTCCCCGCTGCGTAAGCGAGAAAGGCGACATGATTGGACGTGGGGAAAAAAAAAAAATTGGGAAAAAAACCCTCTCGGAGCAGAGCAGTGAAGCGAGCAAATGATGACACAGAAGTTGAAGGAGCCATAAAAACCCCACCGAGGTGTCGTTTGCAAGAAGTGACCTTTTCCCACCAAAGGAGACGAGTGGAAAGGAGACCCGGGTGGCTTCAGGGGGGGTGTAAAAGTCGATTTATTTATTTTAGCTTGCAGAGAACAGGCTTGATTTTTTTTTTTTCCTAGGATTTCCTGAGATTTTTCTGCTTTTGCAGCCGAGAATGCAGCAAATGGGGGAAAAACTCAAAATTTCCCATATGAACCCCCAAAAAACCCTGCTCTGAACGTGGGGATGGTTCAGCGCTCAATCCGGATCATCTCCATTCAGTCATTGTAGCCGGGAAAGTGGAAACGTGATGTGGATTTGCCCCCTCCAAAAATCTTGGGATGGGCTGCAAGGCGCGGGACCGTCTGTGAAATCCAACCTCAACCCCCACGTCCAGCCCATTGGGGTGCTCCAGTAGAGTTTCTCTTGGACAAACTCCTCTTCTTATAATAACTCCGTAACGATGCTCGGAAAAGTTATTCGACCCCTTAGAGCAACATTGGAGATGAAGTCTTTTTTTCCCCCCACCACGGGTTGCCAAAAAACACCGTAAAAATAAATCAAAAGGCCATTCCTACAGCTAAACCTGTCCCGGTTTAGCCAGACGTTTCATCCTTCCAGCTTATTAACCTGCTGGCTGCAAACACGCCACTCTGTCAGCTTTCCGAGAAGACCCCGTGACCCCAAAATAAGCCAGAAAGGGGAAAAAAACCCCATACTTTGACCCAAAACCCTTCAGCCCTGCAGATTGTGTCAAGAGAGGTTTTAATTTTTGCCAGTCTCTGAAATGAACATTTTGGGGTGAAATACTTTGTAATGGTCATTATTTAGGAAGGCAGGGTAATTAATGCAGGAGTTGCGAGTCATGAGGTGTCTGGAAGGAGCCCATGGGTGCTGGGGGACACTCACCTGCGGGGTGTCTTGGTAGGGAGGAGGGGGCACCGTCTGGGTGGCCATCATCGTCAGAGCCGGTGCCGGGGAGACATGGTGCATCCTGGGTGGGAGTCACATCGAGAACCTGCGGGTGGGAGAAATGCTGCTGGATTACGGGGGATCTCCCCCCAAAAAATCCCTCAGAAAGAAAAAAAAAGGGGGACAGAAAGGAGAGAGGACGTTCTTCACACAAGCACCCTGGCACAGCGCTCCACAACTCAGTCCCTGGAAGAAATCCAAGATGGTTTGATGACCCTCATCGTAATTTGATGATTATTTGAGATTTGTGGTTTTGGATAAAGGATGCATCAGGGGCAAAGTGAAGAGGGTCACTGGCAAGGAGATCTTCCCTGGAGAGCAGCCAGGCAAGGGCAGAGCTCTTGGAGATGATGGCTGCCATCGGTGAACTTCAGTATATTTTTCCCCTTGTGGACCCTGGTACACCCAGGGCATTTTCTTTCCACCCCTTATGCCTCTAACCACAGTGCCTAAATGGGGATTTCCATCCCCTTCCCCGTTATTCCTACATTTTGGAAGCAGGAAGACAAGTCATAAATGCAAAACTTTCCATTTTCTGAAATTATACACTTAAAAAAACCCCAAATGGTGTGTCTCTCTGCCTTTGGCCACCATGGAGTCACATCCTAAAGCACTGCATGCTCGGACCAGAAGGGACATTGTATGTATCCGATGTTGAGTTGACCGACATAGTTGACTCCTACATCGAGTTGACCAACCCAGTTGACTCCTATGTTGCATTGACCAACCCAGTTGACTCCTCCATTGAGTTGACCGACCCCATGGTGATTGAATGCACAGAAATGAGGAAAGAGGGTTCAAACCCTTGCTTGATTTGAACCAGGGAGCAATCCCTGATTTTGCACATCCCATACGGACATCTTTGAATCCAGGGAGGCAGTCTGAGACATGCCACCCTCAACCTCCCTTGAAGTTGCTCTGTATTTCTGTAAATGCATAGTTATTTGGGGGGAAAAAAGACTCTTTTTTTTTTTTTTGTATCTTCAGGTCCCAAGGAGATGGGGAAAAAAGAGGGGCACCAGGAAGAGACAAATTTGTAGAGGAGCTCTCGGCTGGATGCTGTCCCCAAGGATAGACCTGGTGGCAGATGTAACCAAAAAGCAATTCTTGGCCCCAAAATGCCTCCTCTCCTATTATTTCACTGCAGCTGTGTGGTCGCTTCAGAAGAAAAGCCAATAATCTTGCTTAAATCCTCAAAAAAATCCCTGTCCTGAGTCCTCTCGGAGGCTCTGAGCCCTGTATTGAGCCAACTCACAAAGCCACCCGGCAAAATCTCCCCAGAGCCTCCAAAAGTGCATTTCTCTCTGCAAGGACTCATTTTTGTAAGAGATTACATCTCTTGAAGGGTTTGCCCCATTGCGATGCCCATCGTTGCATTGGGTTCCCTGTTGGCTTCTCATCTGGAGAGGACCTACCGCGCTGTCCCGTGGAAAGCAGAAATGCAAAAAGTTATGCACAGTCCTCCGATATAGTGAAGGCACCTACCAAAAAATAGCATCAGCGTTGTTTTTGCCATGAAATGGTGACATGCAGGAAGAAACGCTCTCACACAAGGCAGAGGAACAGGGATACCGATGAGCTCATTAAAAACCGAGGCACATTTGGGGTCTTCAGATCAGTCTCCAGAGTTTTTTGGGGAAGATTCACAATATTCTAGTCTTGTCCACGAGGTCGGCAGTTGTTTGGGGGAAGATTCACAATATTCTGGTCTTCTCCATGAGGCTTCGGGCTTTATAGGCACCACCAGGCACCAAGAGAACAAATGCACTGAGCCCACGTGGAAAGCCAAGTGCTGTCTGCACGGGATGAGCGTCAACCACTCTTATTATTTTGCATGAATAAATTAATTTATTTTTTTCACTTTGCACTAGTATGGATGACCCATGAATTGAGTATTAAGAGAGCACACCCAAAATCCTGTGCGTTGGTAAGGCAGACTGGGATCCTTGCATGACACAGACCTCTTGCAGCGAGAAGGATATTGCATTTATGGGATTAAAACGATGCTTTTCATCTTTTTTCCCCAACAGCAAAATAGCGGGAGGCTCCTGAGTGAACTGGCGGCTTAAAATCTTTGGTGCCCGATGTCAAAACTCGGCTGGCAGCTCCAGGCACCTCCTCGAGGGGTAACACCAAGGGGAAATCTCCCCACCAGAAATAGCTGCAGCTGGAGAAAAGCAGAATTCAGCACCGTGACAGTCTAGACATCTCGGTGGGAAGCTAAAAAAATGAAAGATTGCTCTTTTGGCAAAAAAAAACCTGCTTGGCATCTATTGTTCATGCCAGGAGCAGACCTACCCCTAGTGCACGGCAATTTATTGTGGGGTGCAAGCTTTTCAGCCAAATATATTCCCAGAAGGTGGCAGTCCGGAGCCCAAGTTAATTGCCAAATATCATCTAACCTGCTAAAATCAAGCCATTCATTAAGGCTTTATGGGCGTTGATTTGTTTGGAGAATAGGACTTACAGCCAAATGTTAAAAAAAAAAAAAAAAGGGATAAAAATGAGAGACAGCTGTTGCCGATAGCGGTATATTTATCTTGGGGGAAACAAACGCACTCAGGCGCCGTAAATATCCGGGGAAGCGCCTGGCGCCCGCGGGAAAAGCGGGTGTTTCACACGGGAGCCCCTGGCCATGAATCTTGGGATAACGGTGCAAAGCTGTCAGCCCCGTGGATTTATCGGCAGCCAAACACAGGGAAGGGTCGAAAGCTGCTATTTTATGCATTAATCCTTTCTTATTTTTTATATTTTTTATTTTATGCATTAATCCTCTTTTTTTTTTTTCCCCCCACCTCTTAAATCAATTTAGCTGCGTGAGCTCTTGGCCACAGGCATCCAGATGAAGAAAGGAGCAGAGCATCGCCAAACCCCTGCCCGACCCCTCGCAGATCAGCTCAAGGCAATGATCAAATCTTGGGCGAAGAGTGAATTTTGGGGGACTGGGGGTTGAGGAAGGCAGGAATTGCAGCCAACTCCCGGGGCATTTGCACAGAGGAAAGAAATGGTGAGCAATAAAACCCATAAAGGCTCTTTCATTTCCGGAAGCAGCAGTACTTTAGGTTTTGGCAGCAACCTGAGATCAAAGTATCCTAAATTTCCTTATGAAATAAAATTATTTCAGCTATCGCTGAAATATTGCCATTAACTTGGAAATGTATTTCCCAAAGAGCTTGCGTCTACCTAAAAGAGTCGCAGATTTATAAGCTGCTTTTTTGCCAGCAATATATTACGTCCTCTTTCAAATAAAAATAATTAAAGACTGAGTTGAGAACTTGATTTTTTTTTCAGCGTGGTCACTGATGCCTTAAAACATTTAAAAAATCGAAGTATTGCAGACAGTTGTCCACCACCAGCCAGGTGAATATGACCTCCCTGATTAATAAAACAGACGTAAAACCATATTAGAAGTAGAGCTGAGTGCAAAAAAAAAAAATCTCATTGTTGGACTCCACGTTATCGTTTTCAGTGGATAATGTTAATATTAGCTTTGCAAGGTGCAACTCTTGTTTCCAAATCAATGGGAAAATGGGGATCGTTTATTCTAGCTCACTCAGCAGCTTCTCCCCCACAGCAAAACATGCAATTGATAATGGAGGATTCAATGTGAGAAATCAGAAAATCAGCTGTTCAGGCATCTCCTCTTCTCTACCCAAAGTTTCAAAATTATTAGAGATACTTGAGGATGTGTTTCCAGCCACGGGAAGGTATTTTTCTGTATTAAAGGAAGATTGCCTTTTCTAAAGGGTAATTTTTTTTATTTTTTTTTTTAAGATTTGCAATGACGCCGTGTTAGTCACACTCCCTCCGCAGCGGGCTGCAAGTTTTTTATGCCACCGTCTTCACGGAGGGCTTGTGCATGCTGAAGTTTATGATATATGCATTCATTATACGCATATATCTAAGTTAAAATGAAGAAATATAGCTGAGGGGGAAGGGAGAGGCACCTCCAGAGGACGATACATCTTGCTTTAAACTGCCAACGAGGACAGGTTCACCCTCGGTGGGTGATGCCGACTCTCTACTGGCCATAAAGTGAATCGAGAGCTACCCTCTCGCTCTTGAACCTCTCATTTCTATCTGCCAACCTTCACCCTTTTTGCTTGTTTTTACCAAAATTCACCCGTTACCCTGAAAGATGAACACCAGGTTTTCACAAGCTATTAAAGGAACCCCCTTATGCCACCCTGAGCTCATTAAAAATAAACCGAATGCTATTAAATGGTCGAAAATGGAGAAGAATCCCATTTTTCAAGGCATCACCCATTCTTGGTCACTCTTCACATTCAAGGTTGCTTCCAAGTGGGTTCGCGTGATGCCTCATCTGAGGATATCAGGAGCGTTTGTGCAAGAAATACCACTGCGCCACCAAATATTTTTTATTTTTTTAGGAATATTTGGCAGCCAAATTTCCTCTGTCCAAACCCAGGAGGGTTTTTGCACTGGGAGCATCCTTTGCTCTCGGCCAAGACACTGGTTCCCTAAATGCTGACCTTCATACCCCTCCCAGTATCCAGTTGTCGAGTTATTTCCCAATAAAAAAGGACAAATTGAGTCTGCGCTTCGGCTACAACCACGGGCTAAAGCAGATGGAGATCTGATATTTCTGCAGGATAAATCCCGGACTAGAGCAAACCCCTTTTCTATTTTTCTCCTAAAGAAGCTCTTCATCAATGTATAAGCACTGGGGTAAAAGGGAGAGGGAAACGCCATGTCGGACAATGCCAAAAAGCTCTTGCCAAGCACTGGTTTGGTTTGTCACTGGATGGGACATCCCTGGGTGAGGGGGGAAACAGCATTTATATATTTAATATTTGCAAGTCCACCTCCCAACTCCAGCTCCATAGACAGGGGGGAGCTGCTACAGTGAATTTCCGATGAGAACAACAATTCCGACTAAATATTTCTCTCCTCTCTGAAGATACCCATCCCTAAAAGGCTCCAGGGATATCTCTGCAACATAAACATGAGAATAAAACCTGCAAGAGCCAGTCAGAGCTTTAGTAGACAAGGTTAATGTACCTTGAACGGCAGCATTAAACAACTTTGTTCTTTTTTTTTAAGTGGAGAGCTGAGCTACCTACATACATTTTAAAGTGTTATTTTTATAGAGGGAGACCATTAAAGCACCTTCCAAAACAAACTGGCACAGGGAAACATCAAAGAGACTCCTTCAAAGTAACCTGAAAATACTTGCATTTTGTGCAATCCAGCCCCCAGCCCAGCAAAAGTTCCCAAAAGAGCAAATTGTGAATTTTTTCACAGGGCAAATCGAAAAGCTTTGAAGTGAAACGTAGCTGAGGAATCAAAAAAATGCTCAAACTTCCTCTTGCCGGACACGAATTGTCCAGGAAAAGTTTCTGATTGCCTTGAGAGTGCTTGGGAAAAATAGGAAGTGGATTAATTTTCCAACAGTTCTTTGCTGCGAGCAATTAACTGTGAATAATTTATGATCAAAATCTTGCCCGACGCTTTCAAACCTTGCCTTGCACACTTCGTTTTCCATCGCAACCTGCTAATCCCATGAGAGAGGAATCGCTGAGCACCCACATTTCCGTCATGCAAACACCAAACCTCAATCCCACGCCAGTCCTAAAATGGGAAGGTCCCATCCCCAAGGTCTCAGCCAGGTTCAGAGGAGCTTCTTGGAGGACAAAGAAGATGACGGGAATAAACGCGATGAATTTTGGAGAGGTGGGCTGGAAGAAGAGGCTTAAGTATGCGTCTGAGATGAACCATGGGATGAACCATTTTCCAATGGGAGATGTGTGGGGTTTTGTGCTCCTTCTGTGCCACCAGCAAAGCCGACGTCAGAGCTGTTGCTTTGAGGATGGGCAGCCGAGAAGGAACACGCTCAAAAACAGTCATGCTCAGCAAAAATGTAACCATCAGCCACATTTCTCCATCCCAAACTGACAACTGCAGCCCTTCACCAATTTCTCAGCCAGCACAAGAACTGCAAAGTGCAAATCAGACCAACGCCGGTGCAACCACAACGTAGACGCATGCTGACGATTCCAGCAAAGATCCCACCACAAACTATGCAATGACTTTTTGCAACTGTCGCTGCAGCCCATAAACACCCCATGAGCAACAATGCAATTTTTAATAATGCCTTTTGGGGATGCTTTTTCTGCAAATCAAAGCCCGCAGGCTTCATGCACATCTCCCAACACCTGCACAAGTACTTGTGCCGAGTAAACACAAATGGAAATCTGCTTTTCGCTGGGCTTGCAGAAATTGGGCTAAAAACAGCAGATCTAACCCAACTGGAGAAACACAGGCGAGACGTGCACGGGAGCGTGCAAAGATTTCCCCACCCATGGGAAAGCCCCGAAAACAGTGCAATGCCGCAGCACACCTAATAAAACTCTCTCCTCCCTTAAATCTGCCTCGTTTCTTGCTATATCCTGCTAACACGCTTGCAAATTTTCCCTTCGGGAGAGGGAAAGAAATCCCTCTGGAGCCGGCTGTTTTCCTCTTTCCCATATGGCAGATAAATCAGAGCTCCTGACTCGCCGAGTTTCCGCTTCGCATCCCTCTCTTGCAGCTCTCTGGCTTCTCCAGGTCTTACCTCCCCTCCCGAATTTCCTTTTAAAATGCAAAATTCCCAATAAGAAATTACTCTACAAACCAGAAGATAAAAATAAGGTTCTCCTTGAGGCATGCCAGGCTTCCCGGTATCGGCAGAGAGTTGTCCCCGTCCAAGCCCTGAGCCAAGACACCAAAGATTGCGATGTGAGCCGCTAGATTAATTGCCTCAATTTAAACATCTTTCGTTTGCCCATTCAAAAGCAATTTTTTTGCCATACTTCCAGCCTCAATGACAAAAGAGAGGTTTGAGATGTGATGTGATGATTTATACAAGCTGCAGCTAGCTAGGGAGTTACAAATAGTTTTGAACTCCTTTAATTACACTTTATTACACTGTCTTCTCCATTTACTCTGAATGGTAGACCCTAAGAGATGTTCAGCCTGGTCTGAACTCAACACAGTGAGGAAATTGGGGACAAAAAAGGACTGGGAAGTGTTTACGGTGTGAGACACGTGCCAAATTTTTTTGCAACTTTTTTTGCACAGTGACAAAAGGTACGACCTGGCCTTGGAGGTGCATCTCTGTGGACATACGGGCTTCAGGAGGAGGGAACCTGAAATGGTTTTGTGCCTGGAAAATGGGGGGACCCACGTACAAGGTGGAAAAGGCCAAGGGAACCAAGTTATTTCTCAGAAGACTTCTTCAGGATAGGCCATTTCTATCATTAACCACTTAGAGCAATGCCAGCTGTTCCAGAAGGTAATGTGGTGGACATGTCTTTCCATGCCTTTAGTGGGATGTGTCTGGACCACGTTGGCCCAATTTGCTGAATAGGTTGGGTTTGGTCTTGATGGAGATGTTTCTCAGGCCAGGTTGCACTTGTGTCCTCCACGGACTCAGTTTCCTCCAAGGGGAACAACCCAATGTGCCCAAAGTACATCGCAGGGCACCGAGCCCTCCCAAGCAAGCTCTGGGCAGCTCACATCAAAATGCTGAGTAGAAAGAGGGCATCAAGGCAGGGAGGATCTCCCCAAAAAGAGGTCCTTGTGGTGACCCCCAAGTCCCCACAAACCCACCACAGAAGTCATTTCAAAGTGAACCCAACCTGTACCTTTGCCACCTTAGAAAGGGGGCAAAACCAGACTGATAAGAAATTCAACTGCTTCATCCCATCCTTAATCCTGGGTTTTTTTGGCCAAGGGAAGGTCACTGGCAAGAATCAGGGCTGAAAGGGCAGCCTGGGGGAAATAATCCTGCCATTATTGGCTGCTGTTTATTAAAAGGGACTTTCAGAGGAGGCAAGACTCAAAAGAAAAGTCTCAAAGAAAAGGTGCTCTGCTGCGCCGTGGACCGAATGAAGCTTTTGGGTTTTCCCCTGAGATGCCCCCACCCTAAATATCACTGGTTTAGGAAGAAATCAGGCACTTTTTCAGGATATTTGCAGAAATTGAAGGCGGCACCTCCATTTTCAGTGACCAAAGATTTCTCTTTGCTCCTTTAGGAGGAAAGTTGCAGCCAACGGGGCTTTATTTATTTTGTCACCTGCCGGGTGCCTACAGTTTTGGCACAGATCAAGCACATTTGTCACTCTGTCAAGCCCTAATTTTAGCAATCAGGGTTGACTAAAGGACTGCGAGACCCTTGGTTTCATGAACATCTTATTTTAAGCTCCACATTTCAGTTATTTTTAGTTGGTGACCATTTCTCCACATCCTACTGATATGCCAAAATTTTGCAGTGATAACAGCCCATATTTCAGGGTATTTTTACAAAAACATATCTGTGTTTTCCTCCAGGTTGGCTATGGCTTGTAGGGCTCTTAACAACATGTTACCAACACTTGAGCTTTAAATCAAGACTCTCTGCACAGCTCGATTTCTAAAAAACAAAAGAAAACACAGCAGAAAAGTGTGTTTTTGCTAAACACACAGCTCACTGCATTTAGGGAAGGGGTGATATAATTTGGGTGTACCAGAAAAGAGCAGAAATTCCCCCAAATAAAGCCCCACCGAGGTCATGACTCACCACATCCCACTCAATTAATATATATAATTGCACCATTAATATATATAATTGCCTAATTAATATAAAGCAAAGCAGCCTCACCGTTTGGGGGGTGCTCGGGGAGCCGCTGCCCTGCAAGCGTCCTCCCACCGCCCCGAAAACAAGATTTTCTGGGTAGGGATCACAACCTGGGAAAGCAAAGAATGAAATATTTGAATATTGAGAGAAAATGATGAAACGAGAAGGCGAAATATTAAGCAGGGGATGAAGCTTTCTGCACTAGGGAAGGTCTTTCGGTGGCGTCAGTGAAGCCATGGTGGGCAAGTCCGCTCTTAATGCACTTTTTTTGCAGGATAGTGGGGAAAATAGGAGGAATCAAGCAAAAGTTATGTGGGAATATCCCCTTGGAGGTGAAAGCAGGGCTCATGGCTGAGCTAGATCAGACCCCCCCGGGTTTTGCCCGGGCAGGGTTGAACATCTCCAAGGAAGCACAAAAAACAAATCTGATTTTTAGAGGTCGAACCGAGATGTGTCCAGAAAACGAAGGTGTGCTCGTTGCCGGTCTATCCGCAAAGGATGAGGGGCGACGCCGTCCCGTCCCGTCCTTTTCGGCTCCTGGAGGGTGGCGAATCCCCGGCACGGGATCTCACTGAGGGTTAGCGGTACAATCCGGGTCTGAAAAGGAGAAAAAAGGGAAAAAGCAATGAAACAGCACTGCCGTTGGCCGTGCCCCCATTTTGCGCTGGCTGTTGCCATCCCCCTGGTTAATTATAATCTTCACTTGAGTGTAAATGTGCTTTTACACTCTGGCTCAGAGGGCGCAAACTAGGGAAGAGCCATTAACTCAAAAACAGGGGAGCTCCCAGCTGTTATTCAATCAGCAAAAGTCCACACAGATGTTAGAGATGATGCTGCATCTACCAAGGATCTGGCCTTTACGGATGCTGAGGTTGGGATTTCTAGTCCCACCTAAGCAGATCCAGTGGAAAAATGAAGACGGGCTGAGCAAGGATCAGCACAGCCACGGGGGTGTTTCGAGTTTGAGTGCAAAAAAAGGAATAAAAGAGACAAAATTCCCCAGATCTCTGAATATACACCATCTGTAGCAAGCCCCTCCGATCTCCAATATACGTCTGATAAATGTCCTTCGATATACATCACCTCCAGATATTACCTCTATGTTAGGTGATAAACGTGACCTGAGATCTCCAATATATGTCTGATATATCTACCTTGATATATATCACCTGGTAGAGAGCTCCTCAGATCTCCAATATATGTCTGATATATGTCCCTTGATACACATAATCTCTGTCGAGCTCCTCAGATCTTCAGTATACATCTGATATATCTATCCTGATATAAATCACCTCTAGAGAGCTCCTCGCCAATATACATCTGACATACACATCTCTGATATATGTCACCTGACTGGAGCTCCTCAAACGTCCATTATATATCTGATACCTCTAGCATGATACACATCACCTCTAGGGAGCTCCTCAGATCACCAATATATATCGGATACATGTCCCTTGATACACATCACCTCTAGAGAGCTCCTCAGATCTTCCGTATACATCTGATATATCTACCTTGACATACATAACCTGGTACAGAGCTCCTCAGATTGCTGATATATGTCTAGTGTATATACATATATACACACCTTGATCTGCCGAGCTGCTCAGATTCGAATGTACATCTGCTATATGCACCTCTAAATACACACCACCTCCAGAGAGCTCCTCAGATCTCCAAGGCACATCTGATATATCTACCATGATTCACACCACCTTCAGAGAGCTCCTCAGACCTCCGAGGCACACACAAACGAGGATGCGTTTCTGCTATACGTCACCTGCGGAGAGCTATGCCTTGCGTGGTGAGGCCGTACGGGAGATCCATGAGAACTGTTTCCCCTCGTTTTAATTCCATCCCAAACGCCTTGCAATTACAACACTCGCATTTTTGTGCCCTCACAGCCTGTCTCCATCATCACAGCCAGGAGTATGGGTCCAAAAGGCAGAGGTATATGGGGAAGCTTGCATAGGAAGTGCCATTTCTGGAAACCTGGACATCACCAAGGCCATTGCCCGAGGAGAGATACGGAAGCAACTGGGTGATTTCAGGGCAAAACGAGGCAGAAACCCCCAAACATGGAAAACTTGGTGAAAGGGGTCAAAGGTCAAGATGCCCCTTGACTTCTCGGGCAAGTGTAGATCCTGCCGAGAGGTTTAGAGACCTAATCTGGGTTATGCTAAATGCTCAGAAGGGGCTTGAGTCCAAAACTCTTCCACCGCAACAGCAGCTGAAATATCATTAAGGATATTGATGATCAAGAACAAAAAAACCCTATGGGCTTGTGCCTTGGAGGAGCATGCATGGGCTGATGTCAAATACACATCGAGGACCGAGGACTTGATCTGCATTGGATTTCTCCTGACAACGCTATGAAAAGCTCGTGTTTTGCAGCAATCCGTCGTCCCTATATAGACTTTTTTCCCTCCTGCGGGAGAGACTTTTGTCATCTGGGCTCACCGTGTGAACAAAACATGAGGACTGGAGGAAAAGGAGCAGATAAATAAGGCTCTGGCAGTGCTAAAAGAGCTCTGGTAGACTGATTTTCATCCTTGGAGTGGATCAGGGCTGAGGTCTTGGGTGCTGCATGCATGTAGGACAAAAATAGGGGCTTGTGCAGCTTCTGCACAAAAGATGCCATTTTTGTCCCCATCATGAAGAGCACCAAGAGCCAACCCCACCAGGGACATTTCCCCGAACACCCTTGCAGAGGGAGATAAGTCTTTTTGAGCCAGCGCACACTTTTAGTGACTTCAAAAGGCATCCTTTGAAGTTCAGCGGAGGCCTTTGAAGTCCTCCCGACGCGAAAGGGAATGGAGGAAACGCCTCCTTCAAGATGCTCCACCGCGGGCGATGCAAACCAGCAAGATACATGGTGTCCTGGGCACTCAAGGTTGCATGGAGCAGCTGCCAGAGGGTCATAAATGAGGCAACATTAATGACAAGCCATGAATCCCCCAAAATGCCCTAATCAGTCCCCAAAAATGCCCTAAATCCTGATCTGCTCGACCTGAATAACATCCGACGGCGGAGATGGGAACCTAGCATCCCGGGACCTCAGCCTGTACCCAGGTTGCAAAAAGCCAAGGGCATCCCCGTTAATAAAGATTTAATTAAGTGTAAGGGAATGCTAATAAAGCTGACGTTTAGCAAAACAAAATCCAGAATTTTTGCAAAAAGTCTAGGATGTTAAAGCAAGAAGGCTTTTCCCAGCGTGTCACCTTGTTTCCAGTGTGAGCAGCTCATGATGCTTCCAACCTCATCATATCAATGCTGTTTAATTGTGACTATAATTTTTTAATAAATTTAATGCCAGCTCCTCTGACTTAAGTGGAAACAATGAACGGTGAAATCCCTAATAACGCTGCTGGTTTTTGCTGAATTATTTTTATACCCCACACTACGGCCGGCAGTCCATCGCAAGCTGTACTGGCCCCAAACTCTACACCCATGAGGAAAACCGAAGAAACCCTGTACGCGTGAAAAATAGTATAAAGGCAGAAATCAAAGCTCAAATTTCAGTTTAACTCTTTAAGGAGCTCCAAGGGGCGATCACGACTCTCCAAGCGCTTTGGCAACACCCGCTGCCATCTGCAATGAGGAACATTGCAAAAACCCCTTTGATTTACTGGGTTTTTTCCCCTCACGGTGCAATTTCTGCAGCATCTCCAGCCTCCGAGCAAGGGCTGGGGCTGCAAGGTGGGGATGCTCGAAGGTGCAAAGACCAATATGGTATTTTCATCCTTCCACCTCCCCAGTTCCGCAGGTTAAACCTGGTGAAGCACTAGCCCCATCCTTGCTCAGAGAGAGTGAAAAGATTTCAGATGTGCCCATACACACGTAATATTTCTGTATTTCTGCAGAAGCAAAGCCGTTTCGCCGCAAAACAGGGTCCGAGAGAGACGAGTCCATCAGTGGAGCCCCGCTATAGGCGATTTGCATTATCCAAAGGGGGCACGTATGGAACTGTCGGACACCCCCACCCCCGGACGCGCACATGTGCGCACATCTGGGCCCGGGGAACAAAAGCTGCCTCCCTACGCCACACCAATAAATAATGGAAAGTCAAAGTGCCCCGGAGAAGCGGCACCATACTGTTCGGCCTCAGGCGAGATGGAAGAAAATTCGGTACCCATGAGGTCTGGAACAGTGGGATTAATAACACATCAATTTTAATGCAGGGCGGGTTGCGGGGGGGGGTTCCCTTTTCCTTTTTTTTTTTTTTCTGCTTCACAAACAGCAAAGTGAATGTTTGAGCATCTCGGCGGGGGGTTAATGAGGACTCTGATTAGTTATTCAGATTTGCCGATGCTGCCTCTATCCATCCTCAGATGGGGGAATAACGGGAAAGGGTTTGCAGAAAAAGCTCTTAAAGACGACCTGCTTGGCTTTCGCAGCACAGGCAGATGCAGGTTTCGGGGGGCTCATGCTGCACGGGTCCCCAAAACCGAAATCCTAGTGCCAGCTTTGGGGTGGAAAAGCACATTTCTCCATCATTTGAGGGGGATAGGAAAAGCTGCTTCTTGTTGGGCTACACTGATTCCTATAAAGGTTCGAGGGAAAATATTTGGATTTGGGTTTTTTTTCACATGAAGAACAAATTCTTGGGTGCTTAAATGAAATTTGTGTGTAATTATGGTCAGAGGTACATGACCAAAAATGATGGAAGCATGGAGGCATGGAATAACAGATGCAAGGATGAACAGATGCATGGATGCATGGATGCAAGGATGCACAGATGCAAAGATGCATGGATGAACAGATACATGGATGCACGGATGCACGGATGAACACATACAAGGATGCAAGGATGCACAGATGCACGGGTGCACGGATGCATGGATGCAAGGATGGCAGGAAGGATGGACCATCCCGTAAGCCACCACTGGGCTGCAAAAATGCAACATATTCCACTGTTGCAGTATTTTACACAGCATCACATAAAAGTCTAATAGAGTGCTTTACATCCTTGAGCAAAAGCAAGGAGCTCACCTCTTTGCTCCTTGGCCCAGAAATATTTTAAGCAGGTTGAGCTCATCCACCGCTGGAGTGTTTTGGGGTTTCTTTCCAGATTTAGGCTTTTGTTCTTCACCTGCACCCAAAAAAAGGCAACTTGAGAAAATAGATGGCAGGTACCTGAAATGATGCTGCAAAAAGGCTTAAAGGATGGAGCCAGAGTGGTGTTTTGTGGTACTGCAAAGGGGGCTCATCAAAAAACTTAGGCATTATTTTAGGATTCACTTTAGGATTCATTATTTCTTCGTCACGAAGAAGTATTTTAAGGATGGACGGGGTGGTGACAGCACTCTCACAATGGTGAATTCATCCCAGCGATGAACGTCAGCATTTTATTTCTAGCTGAGTCTAGAGACCCACTTGGCTCTTGCTTTGAGCATCACTCAATTTAGCGTTCGATGGGGGTTTTTTGGGCATAAACTCCCCAGTATTCGTGTCATTCCCCACAGCACCTGCCAGGATCTCAAAAGAAAGACAAACTGGAGTTATCCATCTGATTTTGCAAACACCGGGGCTCTCCATCCCAGGCAGGCTCTTTTCCCTGGGACCGCCTCCATATGCTTCATCTCTG